CTGACCCTCAGCCAAATGCAGTTAGAATGGTGTCCTGAGCCCTTAATCTCGGCACTGGGGAGAAAGAGGCAGGGGGATAGAAAGCTAGAGACTAACTTGGGCTATATATCAGATATGGAAAAGAAGGGGCTCAGGCTGGCTCAGCAGGTAAGGGGCTTGCTGCCAAGCCCAATGACCTGAGTCCAACCCCTGGAGACTGATTGTGGAAGGAGAGAAATGACCAAATGACCCTCCCCGCCACTTGGCACCCTTCATGCATGGGGCATTCATGTACCCCTCCCCCATAATGTTTTTTCTTTTTTTTTAAAGAAGAGGCTGGAAATGTCTAGTGTCAGTAGTAGTTAGCAGCCGGGCGGTGGTGGCGCACGCCTTTAATCCCAGCACTCGGGAGGCAGAGGCAGGCGGATTTCTGAGTTCGAGAGTTCGAGGGTAGCCTGGTCTACAGAGTGAGTTCCAGGACAGCCAGGGCTACACAGAGAAACCCTGTCTCGAAAAACAAAACAAAACAAAAATTTAAGAAGTAGTAGTTAGCACCCTTATCGAGGGACTATCTCCTGGCAGAAGTGCCCAGTGAATGAGCCAGGGCCAGCAACTGGCTGGAGTTCTGGGCCAGGGTGCCTACATCCTGATGCCCTCCTCCTGGCCCCGGGGCCTTATTACCTCATAGAAGTTGGGCTTTCTCTTGCTCTATTTGGCACTGCTCCCCTTCCAGGCCACTACCGACTCACTGGGTCAGAGTCCTGGGCTCTGTCCCCTACTGTCCTGTGGCTGGTCACCCCCAGGCAGCTGAAATGGAAACCCTGGGACAGAGCTCGGGTTTCTTTCCAGTAAGCTGGCATGTGAGGACAGCACACAGGGGCCTGTTGCTTCTACTAGACCCGAGTTCCCAGACAATGCTCGTGTGAACAGTGTCACCAGAGAGTTGTGACATGGGCCTCCTGACCTCTGTCAAGTATCTGGGATACTCCTGGGGTTACAAGCTTCCCAACTCAGGCACCTGCACCCCCCCCCCCAGGCAGCCATGCTTTGACCCCAGTTTTCTTTCTTTTTCTCGTCTCTTCTCTTTTTTCTTTCTTTCTCTCTCCCTTCCTTCCTTCCTTCCTCTCTCTCTCTCTCTCTCTCTCTCTCTCTTTCTTTTCTTCTTTCTTTTTTTGAGGCAGAATTTTTCTATGTAGCCCTGGCTGCCCTGAACTAATTCAGGCTAGCCTTAAACTCAGAGATCCACCTGTCCCTGCCTCCCAAGCACTGGGATTAAAATTGGTTTTATAGCCCAGGCTAACCTCAGACTCACTATGTAGCTGAGGATAACCCTGAACTTCTGATCCTCCTGCTCCGCCTCCCTACTTTTGAGATCACAGGTGGGCACAACCTGGTTTAGGAGTGCAGGGGATCGAACCCAGGGCTTCACACATTCATACTAGGCAAGCCCTCTCCCAGCCCAGCTATACTCCAAGCTTGGTTTATTATTTTACTTTCATTTTATTACATTATAGCCTGTGTATGTATCAGTTCTGCCCTTCTACCACGTGGACCCTGGGGATCCAACTCAGGGTTGGTGGCAATTGTCTGTACCTGCTAGGCTATTTTGCCCAACCTGGAACTAGAAATCTCTCTTCCTCTGCCTCTTCTGTGCTGGGGTCACTCCTTGCTGACCGTGGCTGCTACCTGTATCCCAGTACAGGTGATAACACCTGGGACTGTCACATGGCTTCATGTCCTAAGGCGTCTTGCAGTGAGACTGAGTTTGGACCTCAGGCTCTCACGTCATGGCCTCGGCCATCAGCTGCCTGGTGGCCAGAGGCCAGTGTGTCACCATGTCACAGCTTTCCCAAGTCCTCCCCCTACCCCCAACCAGTTCTCTGTCCCAGAGCCCAGCTGAGTCACAGAGGGCCAGCTCAGCCCTTTGCCTCCTCCCCTCTTCCTGCTACTGTTCTCCCCTCCCCCTCCCCTTTCCGGTCCCCTCCAGTCCCCTGGCTGGGGTAGCCAGGACTGGCTGAATGCTGGCTTGGTTCCTTTCTGCCTGCTCCATGCTTTCCTTTGTTAGTTGAAGCAAGCAGGCGCTGTCCCCAGAGGTCAGGGTCTTGGAAATGTTGTTTTAGGGCAGGGCTACCAGGCTAGGAGGTAGGGAAGAGTCAGCCCTGGGGCCAGTTCAGTCATGGCTGCAATACTGTGACTTGGATGGAATCTGTGAAATTAATTTTATCTTTCCAGCTCCTGGTTTTATAAGTATGCGTCATTTCTAAAAACTGCATTACTCATTATCTTTGTGAGGGAGCACGTGTGTGCTGTATGCACACGTGGAGGGCTGTTTGCTGGGGTTGGTCTCTCTTACCATGTGGGACCCGGGGATTGAACTCAGGTCCTCAGGCTTGGCAGCAAACTCCTTTACCTTCTGAACCATCTCACCAGCCCTCTGTCCTTTCCTTTTCTTCTCTCTCTTCTCTCCTTTCTTCCCTTCTTCCTTTCCCTTTCTTTTTTGCTAATCTCTTCCATCCATCCTTCACTTTCTCTCCTTTCTTCTGTTCACATGTGTGTGTATGCACATGCCTGCATCTCTCTGTGTGTGTGTGTGTGTGTGTGTGTGCGCGCGCGTGTACACACATGTATGCATCAATGTGTGGATGGTTTTTCACTGCCCTGAGGATCACCTAGTAGGCCAAGTAGGCTGGCCAGGGAGCTCCAGGGAATCCACCTGTCTCTGCCTTCTTGGCACTGGCCTTAAATGCGTGTGTCATTGTCTTGGTCGCTTGCTGTGAAGAGACACCCTGACTCCTATAAAAGTAAACATTTAACTGGGGCTGGCTTACAGTTTCAGAGATTTAGTCCATTATCATCATGGTGGGAGGCATGGTGGCAGGCAGGCATGGTGCTGGAGAAGGAGATGGGAGCCACACCTGGTTCAGAGAGAGAGAGACAGACAGACAGACAGACAGACAGACAGACACAGACAGACAGCGGAGTCTGGTATAGGCTTTTGAGACCTCAAAGCTCACCTTTCAGTATAACTTTAATTTTTTAAACCTTATTTTTAATGATGGTCCTTAAACTTTTTAACCTCTCTTTTAGCCCATCACCCACCAGAGGTAGTGGAAAAGAAAGGATACCAGGGACGTGGACCAGTTTAGAAAGGTTCTTTGGAGCAATGCTCTGTGTTGTGTGGAAATTGCCAGTTGAATTCACAGGTCAGCAGTAGCAGTTTGATCCACTCACAAATACTGTACGGATATATCAGAGGTCTACAGAGTAGAGTCAGGTTAGCAAATGTAGATTAGCAGCGGTGACACTACCTAGCAGAGACAGTCAGGCCTCAGCCTCGGCTCAAGTCAGCAGGAGGGACCAGAGAGGAATGCCAGGAAGAGTTCTCAGCTGTGCCTCTCTCAGCAAAGTGAAGATCAGCAAAGATGCCAGACCAGTAAGCATTACACAGAGAGTCCTAAAACCAAGCGTAGCTGGGTCTCCTTTACTGTCTATCAGGCACTCCCTCTAAACATCACGTCTCTTCTACGATCTTGTCTCAGCATGTGTCTTGCCGTAACACGTGTGTCTGTCTCAACTGACACCACTCTGTCAATCGGCCCAAGTCCGAGGGAGCAGCAAGAAACTGCAGCACAGCACCAGAAGATTTTCGGTCCGTTTCTCTCTATGGAGTCCTGACAAATGGAGCTCAAGTACACAACGTAAAGTGGACCAATCAATACATGCTTGTAGTTAGCAAAGAGTCTCTCATCACGTGTCCTTTCACGTGCTTGCTTTAGCAGAACATCCTCTCTCCTGTGTCTGCTTCAGCCAAACATTCCTTCATGATCTGCCTTAGTCTTTCACCTGGGTCCACTTCAGGAGAACACTCCTTCACGTGTTTGCCCCAGCAAAACACCATCCAACACAACTGACTCTCTGAAGAGCCACTTTCCACTTCACCCCAGTGACACACTTTCTCTAACAAGGCCACACCTCCTAATCCTTCTAATCCTTCTCAAATAGGGCCACTCGCTGATGACGAGGCATTCAAATATATGAGTTATGGGGGCCATTCCTATTTAAACCGCCACAGTCCTCATGCCTGACTTTTAACCATGAGCTCTGGGGATTGACTTTCCCTCCTCATGCTTCTGTGGCAAGTACTGTGCTGACTGAGCCATTTCTCCAGCCCTCTTTTCTAAGACAGGCCCTCCCTATGGAATGTAGGCTAGCCTAAAGCTTCATCCTCCTGCCTCAGCCTCCTACATGCTGTGATGATAGATGTCACCCGAACACTCAGCTGTTTCTGAACTTTTATGATCTGTGACTGTTCTACTTGTAAGATGCCTGCTACTTCTACAGCAAACTTGGGCATAGCCAGACCACATCTGTACAAGGAGTGTATTATACAGTAGGTTCAGTACTGTGCATAGTAGGTACAGCATGGTGGATAGGCAGGTTTCTCACACAGTACGTTTCTTGGAATCATCAACAATGGCAGGTATTAGGGTTTTTGCAGTGATCAGAGGGCCAATGGATGCCACAGAGTCACACCATGTGATGACTTCACCTGAGAGACTTATTTAGTGGGGTAGACAAAGGCTGCCTCAGGGCGAGGGTGGAGGAGAAAAGAGCAGGCAGGGAAGGCCCTGGCTCTATACAGGGGTATAACGCATGCGCATAGGGAGACTGTGAGGGACTTGTGGCAACAGTGGCAGTGCATCGCGTTTGGCCGCTGGTGATGATGTGGCTTCTGGCACTAAGTTGCTGAATACAAACTGAGGTGCACCTGGTTCTAGAATGTGAGCAGTCCTTGGTTTACTAACAGTAGGGAAACTGAGGAAGCCTTTTTTGAGAAGATTGTTGCAGGGACCAGTGGCCTGGAAGGCTGTTGACCTCTCTACATGGATGCAGGCATGCCCTCACATGGGGTCTCCAGTCATGAGATCAGGGTCAAACACTGACGAACGGGTTCTCCGAGAGGAGACAGCAAGGGCTAATGAGAACATCTTGACTCCAGCCCTCTTGTGTTCTGCCCGCAGGTGACCAAGGATGGCAGAGAGGATGTGATCTGCCTTTGTCTGCCCTCCTAGTGGCACCACCATGCAGAAGCCCAGTGGCCTGAAACCCCCTGGCAGAGGGGGGAAGCACTCCAGTCCGGTGGGCAGGCCGTCCATCGGGTCTGCTGCATCATCTGTGGTGGCATCGGCCAGCGGCTCCAAAGAAGGTACGTGAGGCCGAGAGAGGGATGGAGACTTTTCCTGGGGAGACAAGAACAAACATGTATCCCACTCAGATAGGATACCAGCCATGGAGCAAAATAAAGATTCCACCAGAGTCCAACGTGATGAACCAGTGAATTTATTGGAGTTACTTACAGAGGAGTATGGATAACTCAGAGGTAGCTGTGTCTCAGCACTCAGAAACTTATTACGTAGCCCAGGCTAGCCTTAGACATTCAGTGATTCTCTTGCCGCTGCCTCTGAGGTGCTAAGGGCACCGGTGTGCCCATCATGCCCAGTGAATGCGGTGCTGGGAATGGGACCCAGGGTTTTGTACATGACGGGCCAATGCTCTACCAACTGAACCAAATCCTCAACTCCAGCAGGGCAATTTTAAACCACAAGGGGTCTCTTAGTTTCTTTTGCTGTCACTGTGATAAAATACCCTGACAGAAGCAACTTGAGGGAGAGGGGCTGGGCTTTGGTTCACAGTTCAAGAACTCCATCATGGTGGGGAAAGTCTAGGTAACAGGAATTTGAAACCATTGGTCCAATCTCACCGAGAAACAGAGAGGCTCATGCATGCTCCTGTACAGCTGTCTCTAGTTCATACCATCCGAGTTTCCCTCCTCACGGATGTCCTACCCACCATTAAAATGGGTCTTTCACTATCCCATACACGAATTATGATAATTCCACAGGCATGCCCAGAAGCCCGTCTCCCGGGAGATTCCAGATTCTGTCAAAACACTGAGTGTCCTAGAGAGTGTGCTAGAATTAGAAATAGTTTGGTTAGTTTTTAAGACAAGGTCTCAGTCTTATAGCTCAGGCTGGCCTCGAACTCATGTTCTTCCTGCCTCATCCTACAGGGCTGGGGTTGGTTATAAGTAAGAGCCCCCACCCCCAGCTGGAGATTCGCCTTTCTGTAGTCTTTGCCATGGAGATTCTGATTGTTCCTTCCTTTTCTCTCTGATGAGTAACTCGGAGAGGCGCAGTTCCACACAGTCCCGCTTAGGTTACACTCCACCAAGAAGTATAGGACTCCATCCATCTCAGTCGGGTCTCCCAGAGTTTTGGAGACACCAGAATCTTTGGTAGAGATTAAACTGCATGAACTGGGTTTAAGGGGTAGGGTTGGGGGTGGTGATGATGGTGGGGGTGGTGGTTGGTGTTGCAGAAAGTGTGAGCCAAAGAAGGTAAACAGCCAAGGAAGTTGCAATATGAGGTAAGACAGCGGTCGATTCCCAGCAGGCTTGCTGGTCCAGTATAGCCCAGTTTCTTCTGTAAGAGAACAGATGCCTTCATATCCATGGGAGGCATTCCAGAAGAGGCCAGCTGGGAGAGAGGGGGTGTGGAGAGGGAGAGAAGGAGGGAGGGAGGGAGGCAGAGACAGACAGACAGAGACAGACAGACAGACAGACAGACAGCTGGCTTAGCTGAATCGGTCAGTTCTAAGTTCAAACAGATGGACAGACAAACAGCGAGACTGTCTCAAAGAATGAGGTGGAAAGTGATAAAGCAAGACACCCAATATGGTGGTTAGTTTTAATTGTCAACTTGATGTAATCCAGAATGACATGGTAGGAGAGTCTCATGAGGGATGGTCTATGTTGGGCTAGCCTGTGAACTTGTCTATTTGGCTTGTCTTGATTGTTAATTGACCTGGGAAGACCCAGCCTGAAAGCGGACAGCACTGTTCTCTGGTTTGGGGCGGTGAAATATATGAAAGTAGAGAAAGCCAGCTGGCCACCGAGCAGGCAAGCATTCCTTTCTCTCTCTCTCTCTGCTCTTGCCTGTGCTCCTGACGAGAGCAGCTGTTTAGGTGTCTGCCTTGACTTCTCTACCATGACGGACTGTGATCCGGAATGGTGAGCTAAAAATAAACCCTTTCTCCCTTAAGTTGCATTCGTCAGGATGTCTTATCACAGAAATAGATGTGAAACTATGACGCTCGGGACTGGCCTCTGGCCTCTTCTGCATGCCTGCACATGTGTACTTGCACATACATGAATGTATTCATGTACAAAGACACATCTGTGTGGAAAGGAGTGGCAGCTGATGTGGGGGGAATCAGAAGTAGGGGGTGAAGGGCAGGGATTTGGGTGTCTCTCCAACACAGGAAGAGCTGTATAGGGTGTGGCCTAGGGGTCCACAGGGTATATTATCTCCACTGTGAGCATGACCGTAGGGCTGAGGGGAGGACTAGGCCAGTGAGGAAATGTACAGTCATCCAGGCGCAGGGTGCATGCTCTCTGCCTGCCATAGGGAGGCCACGGGCCGCTGTCCTGAGTCAGGTCACTTCCTTGGAGGAGTCTGAGGATGCTGAGTAATGGGAGTGTTGGGAAACTGCATTGTTGGGCTAGGAAACTCAATCCCTGGACCCACGTGGTACAGAGAGAAATGACTCCCACAAGTTGTCTTTCAAGAACTATGACACACCCCACATACACCATATTCCTGTCTCCCAGGCATGCACACAACCAACATCATACATACTACATACATACACACAGCAACAAAGACAGGATTTCCAGGAGCTGGAAAGATGGCTCACTGGGTCAGAACACTTCTTGCTGCTCTTGCAGAGGACCCAAGCGTGGTTCCCAGCACTTACATGGTGGATCATGACCATCTCTAAATCCAGTTCCTGAGGATCCAGTGCCCTCTTCTAGTCGGGCACTGCACATATGTGGTGCACACACTTACACGGAATAAAACACCCATACACATAAAATAAGTAAATATTAAAAAAAAGAAATTTAATACCAAGAGACAAGCTTAACTACAGGCTCCCAATAGGCTGGGCTTACTCCAGCAGGGGTGGCTCTGTGGAACTAGCTGGGGAAGTGTACCAGCCAGCCTGGCCCTAGGCCAGAACATGACCTTCAAGGAGAAAGGCCCATTGTCTCTTCTGGGTTCTTTCTTTATTGGCCCTCATCAAGTGAGGACCCAGTTTCTTTTATTCCAAGTGTCTGGGATTTAGTCCAGAGTGTCACACATGCCAGACCAGTGCTCTGACACTGAGCCTCAACTCTAGCCCCTCAAGGATGTGTGTGTGTGTGTGTGTGTGTGTGTGTGTGTATGTAGGTGTGTTGGCAGGTGTTCTACTACTGAGCCTCACTCAAGGTTCTCACTAGGAGATTTTGGGCAAAGGCTCTACCATGCTTTGGGGTGTCAATGCCAAGAGATTTGGGAATAAAGCTAAATAGGAGTTTTAGTAAAAACTGTCCCCGTTCCTGCTGGCCCTTCTGGTTCCCCCTCACCCATGGGACTGGCCACCCACTCTCCAAAGTGGAGATGCCAGGCATGATGGCTCATAAGTCATCCCGGCGCTCAGGGGGATTGTGAGATCAGGGTTAGCCTGGACTAAATATGGGAGAGCCTGCCTCAAAAAGTAAACAGACATTGTCTGAAAATGTAGCTTGGTTGGCAGGGTATTTACCCAGCGTGCACAAAGCTCTGGGTTCCATTCACAGCACTTACATAAACCAGGTGTGATGCATATCTGTCACCTCGGCCACTGGGAAATAGGGAAAGGGTTAAAAGGTAAAGGTTATCCTTGAGGCTAGTGCCTGGGACGTAAGAGCCCCTGTCCCAAAACAAATATATCAATCAGTCGATAAAACAAAGCACTGAGGACTCTGGGGGACACCCAGGACGATTTGAGAGGTCCATGTGCAAGTTGGCGCCTGCCTTGGGAAGCTAGGCTGTGGCTTCCTCCCAAGGCATGATGTCAGCTTTGGGCAGAGAGGGTCTGGCACGGGAAACAGCCTGGATAGATGCCATGTGTAGCAGGGAAGGCTTGTATTGGTACCCAGAAGCATGACACAGGATGCAGCAGGGTCCCAGGGAGACTTCAGGGGCATTCGTCTCCCTGGAATGCAAGCAAATAGAGGTGGTTTGACAGGTAGGCAGGTTTGGAGCTAGGTGGAGGAGTGTGGATAAGGTGGAGCACTCCTGGAGGATGCTCTGGGAGGACCCAGGTCAGTGTTAGCATCTATCTTGGGCTGTGGACAGGAGAAAAGGGTTCACGACTCCAGGTACACACCAGGTGTGGACCGCACTCTGTTCTGCACAGGGAAGGGAGGTTCTGTCAGGTTATGTACAGCAACCTTTCTCTGGAGTATTCTTTAATCTTGTGTGTGTGTTCGTGTACTGGGTGTGCACTGTGTAATGCAGAGGTCAGAGGACTGCAGGTGTTCGTGAAGTTTCTGTATTGTTTAGGTCTCTCTCTTTTGGAGATAGGATCTTACTGTGTAGTCCTAGCTGGCCTAGAACTCACAGGATACTGGATCTCTTCCCATCTACCTGTTTGCACCAGCTTAGCTGGCCCATGAGCTTCCAGGGGGTTCTCCTGCCTCACTCACCCATGTTACTGTCCAAGCTCTGAGACTACATGACCATGTCTCCAGCTTTACATAGCTCCTGGGATTCCAACTCGGGTCCTCATGCATGCGTGGCAAATACTTTACCACTGAGCCATCTGCTCAGCTTCTGGAATCTCCCAGTTCCATGCCTGAGAAGTCTCTTTTGGCCCTTGGAAGATGTGCTGGGCAGCTGGGATCTGGGGTTGTCAAGCAGGGAGTATGGGTCATAGGCAGCCGTCATACTTCTATTGTTGGGGCAGGCCTTAAAGAGCTCTCCCTGGCTGTGCTTCTCCCCACCACATCAGGGCATTCACCTTGCCTCATTCGAATATCAATAGTTTGTTCTATAACTGAGCCACGCCCCAGCCTGTCGCTGGGAAATTCTAGGCAAGCACTCTGCCAGTGAGCTGCATCTGAGCCCCTCAAATGTACGTTTATTTTCTTACATATATTTTTATGTTATTTATTTCATATGTGTACGTGTGTGGGCAGATGTGCCCCAGCAGGTGTGTAGAGGTCAGATGACAGCTTGTAAGAATGAGTTCTCTCCCCCGACCATGCAGGTCCCAGGGATTGAGCTCAGCTTGTCAATCTTACCGACAAGTGCCTCTGAATGATCCTTGAGCCATCTTGCTGACCCTCCTCTCGTTTTTGAGATCGTTCCCCTGTGTAATCCAGGCTGGCCTAGATCCTGTGGCAATCCTCCTGCTTCACTCTGCTTGGGACTGAGGTCTAGGCGAACTCATCCACTGCCTGCCCATCACTTTAGTGCCTAGTCTGAGATGTCGTTTGAGGCATTGGGGGGACCAGGCCTCCTGTTGCCCTTGCTACTTTCAGTCAGCCAAGGTCAAGAGGATTCTTTTAAGGCCGGCTCCTCCACTCCTTCCCCTAACCACATCCTAAACTTGTTAATGGCGTCAGGATGGGGAAGCCAAGATGAGCTTTTCTGGGCTGTGTGGCAGGGGGCAGGGCTGCCTCCCAATACTCCTGCCGTTCTGTCCAGTATTGATCCGGGAGGCGGGGACCAAGGCTAGCGCCTGCCTGCCTCCCTGCCTGCCGCGCTCTGTGGCCGGTGCCTGAAGCTTCTTCATGGGGAGCTGGCTCTGCTCATTTCAGGGTAAGAAGCCTGTCACAACCTCTCCAACCCTACTCGGGTTCCCCAGCTTTCTGCGGGCTCCGAATGGGGGGAGCAGAAGGGGATTATGAATAGCATTTGACTCCGGAAGGATACTGAGCCTTTCTGGATAGAGGATGCCTTCAAGGTAGCGGGGCACAGAGGCAGCCTTGCTGGGTCAGTGCCACAGGGTGGGGTGTTCAAACTACAGAGGACTTTTCTTGTGTAGTGGGACAGACTCAGCCTTCCGTGGGCGCCATATGGGGTGGGAACTGTCCAAAGGCTGATTGAAGGGAGATGTCATTTCGGGGAGGTCCGTTATTCCTTCTTCCTTCATGACCTGTGCCTTTGAGAAGC